AATATGTAAAAAATGTAAGGATATTACGAATAATCACTGACACTTTGGCTGAAGGAGCATTTCAATATATGTTAACTCTGGAACATAGTTTAACCCCGGGTTCACACGTAAGCGTTTTCTGCAGCATTTTGCAGAAACACAGTATAGTCAATTTAACATGATTTCCTATGGGACATGTTCACACCTGAGCGTTTTCACTCAATGCGTTTTTTGTAAAGGGTCAGGGACTTTTTGCATTTTTGTTTCTATAGACTTTAATGGAAATGCCGCAGAAAAGCATGTTTTGCGTTTTTGCTGCGTTTTGCGTTTTAAATCTGCCTAGCAGCAAAAAAAAATGAAAACAAAAAATGAGCCCCCCCCCCCCAAAAAAAAAATACAAAATGCATCAAAAACATGTAAAAAAAATGCAAGTGCAAAAAAAGCAACTCAAAACACAATGCAGAAACGGCTCAAACGCAACCTGCATAGGTGTGAACCTAGTCTAAGGCTTAGCTTACATTTCTGGCCAGGGGATGGTGAAAACAAGAAGCTGAGCTGTGTTTTTTCTGTCCACGGATCACCTCCCTTAACTGAACGCAGTAGCCGGAAAGGATTGTACACTTGCTCTGGCCATGATGCCTTGTTCTGTGATAACAGTAAGAATTAAACCTCCCTACTGCATTTGGAAGGCAGTACGGCTACCGAACATGACCCATTCAAGTGAATGGGGCTGCACCCCAAAAATATGGTGGTGAGGGTCTTACAGGTTTAAATAAGAGGCAAGGAGGCAACAAAATGCCTCCTGGCCACCTGTCAAATGCCCTATGAAAAGCAAAAAACCACAGATTGATACTCAGAGGGCCCTTACATATTGGGCCTAATGTATGAATATGTATGAAAGAAGAATAGTCTGTGTTGCCTATTGCAGTCAGGTCACTGCTTTTAATCTCTAACCTGAGATAGAAGAATGAATTATAGGCTGAAGAACAGTTCTGAATAGCTCAAAAATATTTGTAGCTGTAAGTAATAGTAAGTGTATAAATGTGTGTATAAGGGCTCGTTCACACTTGGCTGTTTTACCAACGCTTGCCAAACGCCCCTATAGCGTTTGGCAAGCGTTGGTCCGGCGTTTGCAGAGCGGTTTTTAACACTCGGCAAATGCTCCGCAAACGCTGCATGCGTGGTTTAGCGGTGGTTGCTAGGCGTTTGCCGAGCGTTAAAAACGCCCCACAAACACCTATAATGCAGTTTGAATGGTGTTTACCGCTACCGCCCCACCGCAACCGCAAACGCCGGCTGGGCATTTGCGGAGCGGCACCATAGACTAGAATAGGAGGCTTCAACGCCTCCTGACTCGACCAGAGGCGTCCGTTTTGCCGCGACGCAAACGCTCCCGTTAGAACAGCCCCATGTGCTGTAATGTGCAGAATTGGCAGAGGCGTTTGGGAAGTGGTAAAAACGCTTCCCAAACGCCTCTCTGCCGCCTGCACACAACGCTAGTGTGAACGTAGCCTAATGTTAAGCTTTACGGCTAAAAGCTGACATACATCAATCGTGTTTTTTTTTTTTTTTTTTTCATTCAACCAGCGGACTGAACAAAAAAAATGCCCTGATCCCCCCCCCCCCCCCATCACTGATCAGTGTTGCCGCCTCAAACCCAACAATCTGGTTGTAGACAAATCAATTGGTAGATCAAGTTCTGCACAACCAACCTGCCCATACATGGATCAAAATTCATCCGGTCCCTGCTGAACTGGCCCAGCTGCAATCCATGTACAGTATATCCACCTTTAGGATTCAGTCTGATGGAGTTACACACGTGAGGGTATTTACAAAGCATGGCCTTCACAATGAAGTGATATAAAGCATGGCTTTGCTATTATAGTTGGGATTAAGACCGTATAATCCCTTCCAGTAAACCAGTTAGAGTCAGTGGCTGGGAAGATCTCTCTGTTGTTATTAATTAGACTGGACAGCAGCAGGTGAGACTTGGAGCAAGAAACTTGCCGCATGGAAGATCTTCAGCTGAGCCTGCTGCATGACCAAAAATCATAGGCTAATGCAGACCATAGATGGGTCGAAAATCGGCTGATTTTTCGGCCGAAAATAAAATCGGCCGATTTTCGGATCGTTAGTGAGTTAATAGGTGGGCCGTTTTTTTCGGTATTTTGGCAGATTTTTTTTATCAGTGAGGTTGGAAAAAGATCGGCTGATTTTGCCGATCGGCCGATTTTCGCGGCAATTATGGGCAAATCGGCCGATCTTTTTTACCGATAAAAAAGCTGTGCATGAGCAGTGACCTGCAAGAGGAAGACAAAAAGAAGAAAGAAGAAGAAGAGGATGAAGAAGAAGAAGAGGATGAAGAAGAATGAAGAAGAGGAGGAAGAGGAAGAAGAAGAGGAGGAAGAAGAAGAGGAAGAAGAAGAAGAGGAAGAAGAAGAAGAGGATGAAGAAGAGGAGGAAGAAAGAAGAGGATGAAGAAGAAGAAGAAGAGGATGAAGAGGAAGAAGAAGAGAGAGGAAGAAGAGAAGAAGAAGAGAAAGAAGAGGAGGAAGAAGAAGAAGAGGATGAAGAAGAAGAAGAAGAAGGAGGATGAAGAAGAAGAAGAAGAAGAAGAAGAAGAGAAGAAGAAGAGGAGGAAGAAGAGGAGGAAGAAGAAGAGGATGAAGAAGAGAGGATGAGAAAGATGAAGAAGAGGAAGAGGATGAGAAGAAGAAGAAGAGGATGAAGAAGAAGAGGAAGAAGAGGAAGAAGAAGATGAAGAAGAGATGAAGAAGAAGAAAAAGAAAAGGATGAAGAAGAGGAAGAAGAAGAGGATGAAGAAGAGGATGAAGAAGAAGAAGAGGATGAAGAAGAAGAGGAAGAAGAAGAAGAGGATGAAGAAGAAGAAGAAGAGGATGAAGAAGAAGAAGAAGAGAGATGAGAGAAGAGGATGAAGAAGAAGAGGATGAAGAAGAAGATGAAGAAGAAGAGGATGAAGAAGATGATGAAGAAGAAGAGGATGAAGAAGAATTCCAGTCTGGCAAAAAGTGTTCCTGCAGAGAGCTCCGCTATTTCTTTAACAGTTCCTTGACATTTATAGCGGCTGCAACAATGTATCTGTTTCCGAATAAAAACATCTGTATCCGAAATGGATACAAATAGATACAATGTTGCAGCTGCTATAAATGTCAAAGAACTGTAAAAGAAATAGCAGAGCTCTCAGAGACACTTTTTGCCGGCTGTAGACGGATGAAAATCGGCCGTTTTTTTAACCGTTCCTGGTAACGTCGGCCGATTGAACGACCGATTTTTTTTTCATTTTTTTAAAGAAAAATTGTCCGGTTTTCTCCCCCATCTATGGCCTGCATTAGCGGTAAGGGAACATTAACCGCTTCGCCGCCACCCTATATACTGCTATAGGGCAGCAGGGGTGCGCAAAACCACGTATATATACGTGATTTTGCATTTCCGGGCAGGGGGCATGCGCGAGCCATGTGCACGCCCTACCCACGCCGCCATTTGCAGCCGCGGCTGTCAATCACCGGGTCCTGGCCAGGCTGGGATTACCATGGATCTCCGACAGGGAGGAGGGCTGCTTTGTTTATTAACAGTCGTCCTCCCCATCAGCTCGGGCACACTGACAGCCATCCAGAGCAGTCTGCTTGCAGTGAAGCACCAACACCCCCCCCCCAGTAAAACACACCCAGCACACAGTTAACCCTTGATCACCCTCATGTTAACCCCTTCCTGCCCAGTGCCATTAGAACAGTGTCAGTACTTTTTAGCACTGATCACTGTATTGGTGTCACTGGGGAAGTCAGTGACACCAAGTCTTTTCCCCCCCAGTGTCAGAATGCCCGCCGCAGTCCCGCTATAAGTTGCTGATCGCCGCCATTATTAGTAAAAAATAAAAAAATCCATTATCTATACCGCCATTTGTAAACGCTACAACTTTCACGTAAACCAATTAATTTACACGTATTACATTTTGACCTAAATTTATGATGAAATTTGATTTTTAAAATTTTTTTTACTGGACATGTTTAATAGCAAAAAGTCTAAATATTGTTTTATTCTCAAAATTGTTGGTCTTTTTTTTATAAAAAAAAAAAAAACCAAAAAATGCACAGGTGATCAAATACCACCGTAAGAAAGCTCAATTCATGGGAAAAAAAAGGACGTAAATTTCATTTGGGTGCAGCATTGGTTGACCGCGCAATTGTCAGTTAAAGTAATTCAGCGCCGTATTGCAAAAAATGCCCTGGCCAGGAAGGGGGGGGGGTAAATCTTCTGGAGGGCAAGTGGTACAGGGGTTACTAGGACACATGATAATCACAAATGTCTGATGGGTTTAAAATCTCAGCAACAAAATGCATTTCTCATTCATGTATATTTAATAGAGAGCTTCTGATCAAATGCAGGATACTGACAGGCAGTTTGAAATAAACATTAGCAATAATTAATTGATGCAGAAAGTTTGGAGTTTAAAGCTGAACTCCAGTGATGATATATTTTTCATACTTACTTTGGGCCAGCTTGGCACAATATCAGTCTGCACTGCCTCTGTGGAAGCTGTAAATCACGGTAGCAGATCCTGTGCCAAGTGGCTGCCCTTCTGCATAATAGCCACAGGGGGTCGCTTACATGCCAAGGCTGCCATTTAGGTTCACACCAATGCAGTTTACTTTTGATCCATTTCTGCAGTGTGTTTTGCATTTTTGCCGTGTTTTTGATGCCTTTTGCATTTTTTCAACTTGTTGCCGGGCAGAATAATATGCAAAAAACAAAACATATCAAAAATGCATCAAATACGCACGATATGCTTTTCTGCAGCATCTCCATTGAAGTCTATAGAACCAAAAACGCTACATTTTGCAGTTTAAAAATGTCCCTGACCCTTTCCAAAAAACACACCGGGTGAAAACGTGGAGATGTATACGTGTCCCATAGGAAATCATGTTAAATGGACTGCTGTGCGTTTCTGCAAAACGCAGCGAAAAATGCATAGTTGTGAACCTAGACTTAGGCTAGTTTCACACCTATGCAGTGTGCGATTGATCTGTTTCTGCAGTGAGTTTAGCTGTGCGTTTTGAATTTTTGCACATGCATTTGACACGTTTTTGATGCGTTTTGTTTTTTTTTTTCTTGTTGCTAGGCAGATTTAAAAGCAAAATGCAGCAAAAACGCACAACATGCTTTTCTGCAGCGTCTCCATTGAAGTCTATAGAACCAAAAACACTACGTTTCGCGTTTTAAAAAAGTCCCTGACCCTTTCCAAAAAACGCACCGGGTGAAAATACAGAGATGTGAACCTGTCTCATAAGAAATCATGTTAAATGGACTGCTGTGCGTTTCTGCAAAACGCAGCAGAAAACGCATAGGTGTGAACCTAGACTTAGGCTAGTTTCACACCTATACAGTTTGCGTTTGATCTGTTTCTGCAGTGCATTTTGCAGTGCGTTTTTGCACATGCATTTTTGACATGTTTTTAATGCATTTTGTTTTTTTTTCTTGTTGCTAGGCAGATTTAAATTGCAAAACGCATCAAAAAAATGTGGCAAAAATGCAGCAAAAATGCACTACATGCATTTCTGCAGCATCTCCATTGAAGTCTATAGGACCAAAAACACTACGTTTTGCATTTTAAAAAGTCCCTGACCCTTTCCAAAAAAAAAAACGAGAAAGGGTGAAAAAGCGGAGACGTGAATGTGTCCCATGTGAAATCATAGTAAATGGACTGCTGTGTGTTTCTGCATAACGCAGCGAAAAACACATAGGTGTGAACCTAGACTTGGAGAACGCCTTGTATTTATCTCAGTGAAAGTAAAACGTTTTTTGAGCTTTGGAGAGAGTGGAGAGGGACAAGAACACCTATCAGGTTTTTTTTTTTATTGGTGTCTATTCCCTCCATTAACCACTTGCCTACCGGGCACTTATACCCCCTTATTTACCAGGCCAATTTTCAGCTTTCAGCGCTGTCGCACTTTGATTAACAATTGCGCGGTCATGCAACATTGTACCCATATGAAATTTTTATCATTTTTTTCTTTCAAATAGAGCTTTCTTTTGGTGGTATTTAATCGCTGCTGGGCACTTTACTTTTTGTGCTATCAGAAAAAAAATTGCAAAAAAATTAAAAAAAAAAAAAGTTTCTTTGTTTCTATTTATAAAATTTTTCAAACAGGTAATTTTTCTCCTTCACTGATGTGCGTTGATGAGGCAGCACTGATGGGCACTGATAGGCAGCACTGAAGGGCACTGATAGGCGGCACTGATAGGCAGTACTAATGAGGTGTCATGGATAGGTGGCACTGATAGGCGACACTGATAATGGGTACTGATAGACAGCACTGATAGGTGGCACTGACTGACATCACTGCTGGGCACTGACTGGCGGCACTGCTGGGCACTGACTGGCACAACCGCTGGGCACTGACTGGTGGCACTGACTGGCAGCACTGCTGGGCTGCACTGATGGGCACTGGTGGGCACAGGTGGGTGGCACTGGTGGGCACAGGTGGGTGGGCACAGGTGGGTGGCACTACTGGGCACAGGTAGGTGGCACTTCTGGGCACAGGTGGTGACACTGCTGGGTGGCACAGGTGGGCGCACTGCTGGGCACAGGTGGGCGCACTGCTGGGCACAGGTGAGTGCATTGCTGGGCACAGATGGGCGGAACTTGTGTGTGGCACTGCTGGGCACCGATCATCAAGGCACTGATGATCAGTGACCCTGATGATCGGTGCCGATCCCTGCTCTGACAACTGCCGGTTTTCGGCAGTACTTTCCTCACGATCTGACAGCATGAGGAAAGTGCAGCTGAGAACCGGCATTTGCATTTCCCGGTGATCAGCGTGTCATTGTACACGGCTGATCACGTGGTAAAAGGCCGCTGTGATTGGCCTTTTACCACGTCACGTGATCAGCTGTGTCTGTAGGACACAGCAATCACGGAGATCGCCCCCTGGGGCGCGCAGGAGAGAGCGTTCTGGGAGGACGTCATATGACGTCCACCCAGAACTGGCCGGCTGCAGTGCAGCCGTCATTCGGCTATCTGCGGTCGGAAAGTAGTTAAGGAGATTCACCCACTCTATTTGTCCCATTTTCCATCACTAAAGTGAAAATAAAATAAAAACCCAAATTTTGAGTTGCTCCCAGAAAAATAATAGAGCAGAAATTTTCCAATGGGGACACCAGTTCTGGTGACCTGGGGGTCCCCAAGGAATTCCCTTCATTTGCAAGGATTTCCTCTAACTTCCTGTTTGGCTATAGGACAGGAAATGAAGATAAATCTCTGGAATAGGACATGAATAGGATGAAATAAAAAAAAAAAAAAAAAAAGTTTTGCCTATAGTTCTACTTGAATGCAAAACTTTCTGTGATAGGATGAAGAGAGGAGGGCGTGAATATGGTTTTCTTTATTTACACTGTGATTGCTTGCTACAGTGATGATCACTGTAACAGCAATTGTTTGAACTGTCATGAATGGCTGCCATTCATGTTTCATTGTTTACTACTGTGATGCTGTGATTGGCCTACAGATATCACATTGTACAGGGTGCTGTGATTGATCCAGGTACCATGTGATCACTGGTTATCAATCACAGATCACACACAATAGTAAAACAAGTATGGATTCCATTCATGACTCTTGTTTACTACATGACATGATAGCACATCGATTACATGGTATCTGGGCAGCTCACAGCTATCCGATAGCAAGCACCACAATTTGCTGTATCCAGTAGAGATGGACCAAGCTAAGTGTCCAAGAGATCAAAGAATACGAATTCACAAAAATGTCTGCTATTGCACCACAATCTTAACCCAACTCGAAGCAGATCATTGTCATGTTCATGTCATTGTCACTGTCAAGGGCATGCTTTCTTAACCACTTCATGTCCGGACACTTTTACCCCCTTCCTGTCCAGACCAATTTTCAGCTTTCAGTGCTGTCACACTTTGAATGACAATTGTGCGGTCATGCAACACTACCCATATGAATTTTTTAGCTTTTTGTTTGAGACAGATAAAACTTTATTTTGGTGGTATTTATTCACCACTGGGATTTTTTTTTTTTTGCTATATAAATGAAAAAGACCAAATATTTTGAAAAAAAAGTGTGTTTTTTTCTTATAAAATTTTGCAAATAAATAATCTTTCTTCATAAATCTTGGCCAAAATTTATTCAGTTAACTTTTTAGTAAAACAAATAACCAAAATTAGTTTATAACCAAAAATTTTATTTTTTAAAAATTTTTTTTTTACATTTTTATTTTATTGTTTTATATTATTATTTATGGGGTTGTTTTTTTTTCATACTGGCACCCTAGAAGTACAGTTTCACCATAGTGACACTGTACTACTTGTGGGAGGTGATGAAGATTTCTTTTTTTTTTTTACTCTGATTGCTTTTACACCCATAAAGCAATCATAAAGGCTGTAAAAGCAATCATTTCTACTTCTCTCTGGCTGAATTCTTGTAGCCATTGAGAAATACTGTGTGAGCTGTGATTGGTCACAGCTTGTCACATGGTACAAGGCTGTTGTGAATAGCCTTGTACCATGTGATCTCTGTGATAATTCACAGATTTCACATGTAGTAAGCAATGATGTCAGAAGTGACATATTACTTACACCTATTCATGTGATCACTGATTGGCCAATCAGTGATCACATGATCGGGACCTCACACAGAGGTCCCGCACAGTGATCGGACACAGCAGGCACCAGATCACGGTGCCGCGTGCTCCCAAGGAGCGCGCACAGTCCAAAATGGCTGGCACCGTTTATGAACAGCAACCCGCCCCTACACTGCCACCGTCCGGTCGTTTGTATACAGCAGCCGGAAGGAAAGTGGTTAAAGGATAAGTTACCCTTTCGTAACATCTTACATGTTAAACCCATATTCAGGGTGTAACATGTAACATGTCATGATCAGACTGGCCCCTGCTCCCCCCACTAGCTGTCAAATTTAAAAAAAACATGACCCTATGGGGCTCCGCCCACCTGCCTGTGTCACTCATTCACAGTCCTCTGTACATGAGAGACTACAAGTCCCAACAGCCTTAGCAGCTGTCGGCTTGTAGTTCTCAATGAACTACCATGGCGCTGTGGAGAGCTTTGGTAGTTCTTTCATTCTTCCTGTCAGTATACCTGCTTGCTTGTACATCCCGTATGGCAAGCAGAGATTCTGACAGGTCTGCAGGAGACCTGCATGGCATCAGCCATCTGCTGATCTCTGTTGCATTGCTTTCCAGGCTCCTGCAGACAAAAATAATAAATGCAAATTTTTTTCACCTGCAAAAATAATGTGCATTTATTATTTTTTTACAAAAAGGTGAACTTATCCTTGCACTGCAACACACTAAAATTTGTACAAGATACCGCAATTGCCCCCCTAAGGGGGACTAAAGAAACCTGTGAACGGTCATTACTGGCCTCTCCTAATAAATGTGCCTGATTCTCATGCAGATCCAATGATTTCAATTCTTTAAGAATCACTGATTTGGAACAAGCATGCAGATCAGAAGTTCTGACTTCACTTGCTGCACACAAGTTACTTGTTAGTGACTCATACTATGGAAGTCATCATCGGCAGCCTACATATTTCTGTAAATGCAGGAATCCTTTACCAAGGCTGCCCCATGACTGAAAAATCCCCATATATAATCTGTTCTCCCCGCTTTTATGTAATTTTCCTGCACTGCACTGAACTGATCAGGTTATCGCTGACATCTAGTGGCAGTTTTGGGCCATTACAACTTATTTACCATATAATTTTAGTTTCTCCCTCTGTCATCCCCTCATGTTTAGTGTTAGCTAGTTCAGTTCTAGGTACATCCCATTGCTTACATGTTCCTTCAGTCAGTATTAGTTATTCAGAGACAGGGTTTAGGAAAATCATTGTCTTCTTACACTTCAAAGCACAGGAAAAAAACATCCTCTGTACTGCAATTAGCTGAAGTACTTTTAACAGCAGTCTGTTTGTTACCCATCCAATGAGTTTTCCTGGCAAGATATGGATACAGACGTAGATTAACATCTTGCCAACCATATAACGTATACGTGTGCCAGCAATGGGGGGGTTGTCACACATATGCATC